TCAAATCTAAAACTCTATAATAATTGGTATGACAAAGGTATACTGTGAGTTCAGAAGACAGGTGCCAAACAGTGATGGATGGCTGAGAGGGATGCAAAGAATATGTAGCAGAGGTAAAATCTCCAAAGTCAGCTTTGATAAAGTGAGATTTCAACAGAGGAAGGGAAGTCAGGGTGAGAAAAGAGATCTGACCTGTGTCTTCCAGACCACCTGAATAAGGACGGTGCAGCTGTACCCTCCATAGAAAGGGGAGAAGTAAACAGAGGCCCCTCTGCTCTAAATTTCCTTCCCTCCAGGTCTCAGGATTTTGTTAACTTAGTACTTCTTCTGGCATCTTTTTACATCATTAACACCAATTAAGTAACTGATGTTGTTTATTAACAGCTAGAAAAGATACCACATCTGGAAAGTGTCCTCCTTGCTCCTGGTCTCTCAGGTGACCTGTTCCTGGGTGGCAGTTATGGCCCTGGGAGAGGGATGAGTAAGGTTAGTGATTCTCAAGGAACTTCTGGCCGAGTGAATAGAAGGAGGCTGCAGGGCCTGCCAGTTGTCAGCCCATCAAGCTCCTAAGCACAAACAGGCCGAGATGATGAGAATTTATCTAGAATCATGCAGAAATGCTACAGTGTTACAGGATGGGCATTAAAATGTTAGGATTCAAAGATCTCTCTGCCTTTGCTCTTTCTGCAGAGAGAAGTAACTTTCTACCTCTGAAAAATAAAGGATTTTGGCTTGTTCTCAGCAAGGCGCAATTCAAAATTATAGAATGTAAAGGAAATCTCCAGGGTGGAATGAACCTGGAGAAATAATGGTCCTTCCATAAAAGAACAGTGTTTCAAGCCTTCAAACCTCCCTTTGACCTACAGGCACTGCCTCCCTCCCCCGCCCCCACACTTTCAGCAGGAAGCTTGCAAGTTGGGCTTGGCCCCCCTTCACAGCAGCTTCCTGACCACATGTTAAACTCACATCCAAAATTCAGTACTTCTCCCCACCTCTGCTCTCTGCAAACTATACCACACACCTCAGACACCAGGTGAGAAGTTGTGCCTCCTTGGAGAAGAGTGGAGACAGGCTAGGGGCAGACATGGTCAGGATTCTCTCACCAAACATGGGGCTGATCACCAGATCTAGAGGTGCTGAGTGAAAATGAAAGTTAAATTCTCTGGGATGGGTAGGAAAAGAGGAGAAAGTTTGTGGACCACTGGGAGGCCTGTGCCTAGGACCCCAAGGAAGTGACATGGCTTTGTGTCTGGGTCATGTGAGCCAGTGGTTGCACTCATTCCTGTCTGTTCCACTCCTACAAGCTGCTCTCATGGCTGCTCAAGATAATCAGTCCTTTCGAGTACTAGGCTTACTGGAGCAATATAATTTCACACACACGCACCTTGCCTTTTTCCCTCCAAATGAGCTGTCATGAGGAGGGAAAAAACTTACCCCTTTTCCACAAAGAGGGCTCCACACTGAAGGCTAGTCTGAGGCAGACCTAGGGACATGCTTTCTACTGTTCTTTGTCCACCTGCTAAGGTAAGTGAATCTGCCCAGTGTGTGTCCTATTAGATCTTAGGAGAGGGAAGGCCTGTGTACATCTTACATTACCCTCAGCAGTCAGTCATGTGCTATCATGGAATGGCAGCACAATGAGGCTGACCTTCAGAATATTTGGATTCAATATAGCCAAAATGACACTTTTGCTGAAGATGTTAGAAAGATGAAACCATGGGCAGTGTAATTTGTTGGATAATGTGATCTAGTATTATTTAACATATAGTCTCAATTATCTTAACATAATAAAAATGAAGCAGGAAAATAATTGTGAAGATTGCTTTTGTGTGTCAACTTGACAGGCCACAAGATACCCAGATTAAACATTTCTAGGTCTGTGAGGTGGTGGTTTCTAGATGAGAATGGCATTTGATGGGATCCCTGGGTGGCGCAGCGGTTTGGCGCCTGCCTTTGGCCCAGGGCGCGATCCTGGAGACCCGGGATCGAATCCCACATCGGGCTCTCGGTGCATGGAGCCTGCTTCTCCCTCTGCCTGTGTCTCTGCCTCTCTCTCTGTCTCTCTCTCTCTGTGACTATCATAAATAAATAAAAAATCAAAAAAAAATTAAAAAAAAGAGAATGGCATTTGAATCTGTGGACTCTGGATTGTCTTCCCCAGCATTGTTGGGCATCATCGGATTTGTTGAAGGGCTGAAAGGAAAGAGGAATTCATCCCTTTTCCTTCCTGCCTGCATGCTTGAGCTGGGATATATAGGTCCTCTCCTGTCCTTGGACTAGAATTTACAATACCACCTACCCCAGTTCTCCAGTCTTTGGTCTTGGACTGAATGACAACACCAGCTTTCCTGTGTCTCCTCTTTGCAGATACCAGGTCCTGGAACTTCTCAGCCCCCATAATCATGTGAGTCAATTCCTTATAATAAATCTCCTTCATGTAGGTCTATTTCTCTGGAGAACCCTGACTAACAATTCTCAAGTTCTGCATCAAGTGGCGCAAGTGAACTGTGATAATGACAGTGATAATGAAACAGGTGAATTATACAGTTTCAAAGGGTACATGCCAAATAGTGACACAGGACACTGAAGGGCACAGGAGGATGTTGTTGAGGTGATAGTGTTTTAAAAGTCAGCTATAATCCCATACAATCTAGTCAGATAAAAGGAAGTCGTGGTTAAAAAAAAAAAAGAAGAAGAAGAAAAAAGAAAAGCAAAAAGAGCTTTGAGTGGTATCTACCATCTGAGTGAGTCAATCTGGAGTGTGGCTGTCTTTCACAGGAAAAACGGTAGTTAAAGAAATTCCCCTACTTTAATTCCCTTTTCTCATGGGTCTTTAGCATCTTGTTATCATGCTACATCTTCTGATGTCTTTTCATGTTATTAACACCAAGCAAGCATCTCATTTTGTTGTTGTTGTCATCATGTCCTTGTTGTTGTTGTTGCTTAAACCCTGAGATCAAGATCTGAGTTGAAATCAAGAGTCTAATGCTCGACCTGCTGAGCCACCCAGGTGCCCCTCATTTCGTTTTATTTGAAGTTGTCAAGATGCCCCTTATGGAAATTCTTCCTAGGTGCTTCTCTGGTTGGCAGAAATGGCCCAAGAAGAAGGATGAGCAAGATTAGTGACTTTTTTTAAATGTGTAAACTGCAGTAGATCCCTGAGTTTGAACTTGAAAATTCTGTAAGACTAGAAAACACCAAAGAAACTGCAGGGCAGAGCAACCATCATCACACCATTAAGGCTTCCAAACCCAGAGAGGATAGGGTGCTAGGAATTTCTGTGGAGAGTCATATAGAAATCCTACATTATTATACTGACAGGCATTAAATTCTTAAGCTTCAAAGAACTTTCTGACTTCCCCTACTATCTTCCTCAAAGTATCTTTTTCAATCCTGAGCAGAGCCAGGCCTAGTTCTCTTCTCTGCTGCGCTCAGTGCACAACTGCTCCAGAAGTCTGGGATGTGGCCCACAGGGACTTCATAAGCTCTTTGTCTAGGGTTCCTTTTGCTAGAATTTTTCTGGAAGCTGTTGCTGAAACTAGGGCTATTCCTAGAGGTGAGGACTCAGTCACTATTCCTTGAATTGAAAAAGGAAAATGCATGAGTCAAGGCAAGAGAGAGAAGTGCAATGGGAAACTTGGTTGTATTACTGATTTTATCAGTGATAATCTCCATACTTACCTCACACTGCATCCTCAACTATAAGTTTCATGAAGTCAGGGAGACTTTTTCTATTTTGTTGCTTATTGCCTCAAATCTATTAGAAGTTATTGTACATAGGAGTGATAGATATGCATATATATAACTGTAAAATATTTTTAATTGAATGGAACATCCTTTTTTTTTCATTTTTTTTAAATAATAAATTTATTTTTATTGGTGTTCAATTTGCCAACATACAGAATAACACCCAGTGCTCATCCCGTCAAGTGCCCCCCTCAGTGCCCATCACCCATTCACCCCCACCCCCCGCCCTCCTCCCCTTCCACCACCCCTAGTTTGTTTCCCAGAGTTAGGAGTCTTTATGTTCTGTCTCCCTTTCTGATATTTCCTACCCATTCTTCTCCCTTCCCTTCTATTCCCTTTCACTATTATTTATATTCCCCAAATGAATGAGAACATATAATGTTTGTCCTTCTCCAGTTGACTTATTTCACTCAGCATAATACCCTCCAGTTCCATCCACGTTGAAGCAAATGGTGGGTATTTGTCATTTCTAATGGCTGAGTAATATTCTGAATGGAACAACTTGATGACAAATCATGCTTCTAAACTACCATTCTTCCTGTGAACACAGTTGCTGTCACATCATATAATTCAGTTATTCTTCTGGTATCAATAACATATATGATTTCCCTTTGATAAATTTTTTCCCTTTGATAAATTTTTATTGAAGTATAATTAGCATACATCAGATTAGTTTAGGTGTACAATATAATGATTTAACATTTGTATACATTGTGAAATGTTCATTATAGTAAATCAAGTTACTATCTATCACCATACAAAGTCAAGAAATCCCCCCCCCCATGAGAATTTTCAAGATTTACTTTTGGAGCAACTTCAAATTTGCAACACAATACTTTTTACATGAAGTCACCATGCTATACATTATATCCCCGTGACTTATTTTATAACTGGAAGGCTTTACTTCTTGACCCCCTTCACACATTTTGCCTACCCCCAAACTCCTGCCTCTAGCAACCATCAATCTGATCTCTTTATCTATGAGTTTTGTGTTGTTTGCTTGTTTTATTTGTTAGTTTACATGTCTGAGTGGAATGATATGGTGTTTGTATTTCTCTCATTTATTTCACTTAGCATTACACCTTCAAGGTCCATCTATGTTGTTGAATGGCAAGATATCATTCTTTTTATGGCTGAGTATTATTCCATTGTGGTGTGTGTGTGTGTGTGTGTGTGTGTGTGTATAATATATATATATATATATATATATATATATATATATATATATATATATTACATCTTTATCCATTATTCCATTGATAGACTCTTAGGTTGTTTCCACTTTTTGACAAATACTAATCAATCTTTCACTTCTGTCTTATTCCTATGGCTTTCTTGGATTGATTTTTTATCTGTCCCCATCAATACACTTCAACTCTGTCAGCTCTTGCTTTACTCTAAGGTTTTCTCAAATGGGAAAGTATTAAAAATCCATGGGCCAAATAGATATTTCATTAGATTCCTTTCCAAGCAGAAGATATAATGAAGGCAGGGAAATACAGAGCTCTGAGAAATATTTCTTTTTCCCTGTAACTCAGAATGCAATGATCTGGAATATGCAACATACCAATATACTCAGCTCTGGTGAGAAAGTATTTATGGTAAGAGAAGTGTAAATTCAGGTATTGTGCTTGCCTAAGTTTCTAGGTATCTTGACAAGACCTGCTTTCCCCACTGATTCTTCTTGGCTGCAAATCTAATGCTTCATAAGAGAGTCCCAATATATTGACCATGGATGTAGGGTCAGTTAAGAGATTCAGAGGAAGAGAGGTGAAACAATGGATTTTTGGATCTGTGGAGGGATTGGGAAAGGAAGTACCAGACAGAGAAGAAGTTTTTGGGTAAGAAAGTTCTTTTCTTCTGAGCACTACAATCAATATCATTGTACTGTGCCTGTCACACAGTTGGACTCTGAGTTCTCCAATCCTCTACAGTTTCAACCAAATACACTGAAAAATACATCTATGCTTAATATCTTTGCATTAACCACCTATTCCACACCATCACTGTTCCCTTCCTGAAATATGTAGGCATGCAGAAATGGTATAACCACTTTGAACAAAATCTGGCAGTTTGTAAAACAAACAAACAAACAAAAACACACACACACTAAAATTCAGAAATTGAACTTTCAGCTTAGAATATCCAGAGAAGCAAAACTGAGATTCTGTTTCCTCCATAAATAATGGAGGTATTTATTCTAACAAAAGAGTACTCATACCCTACAGGTCAACACTATTAACTTTGAACATTTGTAAAAATTAAACAAAACAAACAAAAACATGAAGGCACTAGAGACTGACAAAACACTTAGAATCTACAGTGTAATAAACAAAATAAGGGACTATACTATTGAAGGACTTTCCTGGTTTTATGGCTTTTTATTTGCTCAATTGGTAGTGAGCAGGACAGTTAAAACTCAGCAGCATACAGACTTATTAGCTTGAAAAGCAAGATGAATGATTTGGGGCAATTACAACAGCAAGTAGGAGAATGCCTGTAAAAGAGAGATCCAGAGGAGGAAATCTCTAATTTTACATAAAAATCGAGCAATTCCTTGAACAACATATGTTTGAAGTGGATACAGAAGAGTCCAAATAGACCTAAAAGAACTGATCAGAATTTCAGTTGCTGCAAGATGCAGGGGAGATTTTCAAATTTGAGATCAACCAAATTAATTGCCTGAAAAATAAATATCCTTCAGAACAATAAACAGAATCCAGAGTCTTTACATCTCATTCACAATTCCCCTTGGGGAATTTAAGGTACATGTTAAAATGGTTTAACCTACAGAGAAACTAAAATAGTCCATACTCAACAACAAGGTGATCAATGGAGAACAACTTCAAGATAATGCAGATACTGCATTTAAAACAGGACTTACAACAAGGAAGATAAGCACTTCACCGTAACTATCATAACTAGGGTAAAGCCTATTAAAGAAAACATGCTTATAATAATCATCAAATAGGAAATTCCAAAAGACAAATAGAAATAGTTTTATTAATAGAAATACTAAAACTAAAAGCTTCAATCACTCAAAAAAGTAATCCTGGACTGGCTTAAGAGAAATTTAGAATCACAAAAGAAAGACTGAGTGAACTTAAAAGTAGATTAATGCAAATTATCCAATAGGAAAATAATGAACAGAGCCTCAATAATCTAAGAAAAAATAATCAAGGCTTAACACAGGCTTAACCCCACAGAATAATCAATAAAATACAATGATAACAAAACTATAAAGATACCTGAATTAAATGAGGAACAAAAGGGTAAAAGTTGTATGTTCAGTATATGGAGAAAAGCATTGCACAATTCTATGACATTCTAACATAAAAGAAGGAGAAAGGAAGGAAGAGGTGTTCAGAATGGTGAACATAAACTCAGGTGCAGATGAGCACAAGGGGTGCTACATATAAGTGGATGAGGAATCAAGAAGGTTCAGGAGCGTGGTGGGCACAGGGTGATAGGCCCGGGGCAGTTCCAAGGATTGAAGTATGGATACACAGTGTGAGAAAAGCAACATTTAGAAAATTTGTAGATGAGTGACCCGTGGTTTGTGACATTAAGAAATGATAAAATCCCGGCTTCATAGTCTAGGAAAACCCCAATACGATGGGGAGGAACAGCCATGGAAATAGTCAAGACCATGGGAAGAGATGTAGATGACTCCTCAAAGGCCTTATACTCAAATTTATTCTGTAACCCAATGACCCAGTAGCCACATTGAGGTCTGTATCTAGAGTAAACATTTTGATTATCTGTGCCTCGTCTAACACCAAGATTTGTATTATGGAAACGTTTTCTAGAGTATACCCCCAAGATCCAGGCAGTCTTCTTGGACACGTCTATTTCCCAGTAGTGTTTCCCTGAGGAGAAATATTGGGAGCCCAAGATACCATAATTACTAAGCTTAACAGGCCAAATTGGCACAGACATCACTTGTCTCTGGTCTTCTGAAAGGACAAGGCTTAGATTTAAGTTGCTTGGGTTCAGTGTGATGTCCACTGCAGAAAAAAAAAAAGAAAGAAAGAAAAGTAAGATCAGGTGACAAGTATGGGGTTGGTTTATCTGCTGACATTATAAAGAGGGAACTTGGGAAATGATTTGGTAGAACTTGTATTGATGGATTGGGGAAAGGAGTAAGACACTAGAGAATCGTATTTCATACACACACACACACATATACTAAAAAATATATATATATATATATATAGAGAGAGAATATTATATATATTAACACATGGAGCTAAGATTATGAGATCTCACTGAAATCGCAAGTTTCTGAAAGGGGATTAGAGCACAGAGATTTGAAGAACCAGTAATTTCTTCTTACCCCAGTAGCACTGGACTTGCGTTAGCTCTGAAATGATAAGAGAGTCAGTGATGCTGACTAGAAGCAAATGACTAAGCACCAATGCCTATCTCTTCTCCAGAGTAGGGCCAGCAGAGGGGAGCCCTGTGAGGCTATGAACTGGTGAATGAGAGGATGGACTAGGCATCTAGCCATTCCCCCTTAGATTTAACCACATCTCTCTCAGCAATATCCATCTTCTGTGAATACCCTCCTCCATTGTATTCTCTCTTTGAAACTATACCAGCCCCCCCACTTTAGTCACTGACACCACAGGAGTCCCACATTCACCCATCTTGTCCTGGCTCTCCTCACCTCTACACATGCGCAGCATTGTGCTCAGATCTGGAGCATGGAATATACTCTTCAGTCTTTTGGAAACAGTTTTTGGCTTCTTCAGTGTCCAGATCTCACTCCTAGGCATGACAAAAAATGTTGATCCTACTTCTCTTACCGTGTATCCTTCCAATATGACTGCCTTCCTCTCTCTTTCCATACCACTGATGCACTTGAACCCTCCTCCCTGAGAAGCTTGAGTTGGGGAGAAGGGAGAGTCCTAATGCTGAAGCCAGAAGAAATGTGCCCATGTCTACCTTCTCATCTACTATCTGTATAACCTTGGGAAGGTATTCATCTCAAACAGTTTCTTCTTCTAAAAATGGAATAGTTAATCTTTTTCTTGATACCTCATGGACATAATAGAAAATTTGATGAAATAACATGTAGGAAAAGCCTTTGCTACCTCTAAAAAATGTATGCAGTCTGTGGGAAAGTTATCACGGTGGGTCTTTCATGGAGGCCATAAATGAGTCTTCCCAGGCAGAGAGATCAGTAGTGAGGCTGCAGATGCTAGCTATGATGTGAAATCCACAGGTCTCTTTTTGAGAGCCTGTGAGCTTGTGCCCTCATCCAAAGCCTGAATCCCAGTGGTGTGACCCCACAAATAACATTTGAGATTACAGGTGCTCTGGAAAAAAAGTTAAAAACACTTGGTAGAGGAATTTAATGTTGTCAGGTAGGTTGCCAACTTAACCCACAAGAACTACTTTCCTATATAAGCTTCTAACAAGTGTGAATAGGAAGAGATTAATTATGGCACCATGGTCAATGTCACTAAGCCTGAGGCTCAGGGTTTTTGTTGTTGTTGTTGTTGTTGTTGTTTTTAATCTAAAGAGAACCTTGTAGAATGACCTGGTCTTTTATATTCTTATGCAAGCAAAGTAAATATAAAGGAGCTGCTCCTACAACCTATTTTAGGGCTTGTTGAAGACCTCCATGTGATAAGATAGGCATGGATGGAATACAGGAATGAGACAAGGACAAAGTAAAGTCGTAGAAGCCTGATAGTAAAATCCCTGATCCTTATTACCCTTACTGTCCCTAATTCTGTGAACTCTGACCACTAAATTCACCACTATAGAATGTGATCTATTCCCCATACATATGGAGCACTTAAATCCTTGTCTATGACCAACAATTTAAAATAATACTACATCCAAATTTCCCTGATTTGGAAGATTTTTTATTCCAATTGACCATCAGAACACTCATATGGCTACAATCCTTTCTTAATAACACAAAAGCACCACCCCATGGTCACCCATACATACCATTTCATGATTCCACTCATGTCCTAGAAAGAAGAGAGAAAACAAGAGTCAAGGTGTATAAATATTAGAGCAGGATTAATGAAAGATAGAATAGAAGAACACTAGAGAAAATCAGAGAAATCAAATGTGAACTATTTGACAATATCAACAAAATTGACATACCATGAAGAACAGAGAAGACAAATTATTAAAATTGGGAATGAAAGGGAACACATTACTACTGACTTTTACAAAAACTAATAGAAATATAAAACTATGAACAATTGTATGCCAACAAATTAAATAATCCATGTGAAATGGACAAATTCCTAGAAAGACAAACTATCAGTGCTAATTTAAGAAGAAATAGAAAATCTGAATACTCCTAAAACATGTAGATATTAGACTGGAAATAAAGAATTTCCTGTGAAGAAGGCAGGCCCAGATGGCTTCACTGGTGAATTTTGCTAAAGATTTAAAGTGGAAATAATAGAAATACTTCACAAATTCTTCCAAAAAAATAGAAAAGGAGGTTATAGTTCCCAACTCATTCTATGAAGCCAATACTACCCTGATGCAAAAACAAGACAAAGACATCACAAGAAGAGTGAACTACAGGCCAGTATTTCTTATGAATATAAGATGTAAACTTCTTCAACAATATACTAAAAAACTGAATCCAGCAAAATAGGAAAGATGATATATACACCATGGTCAAGTGGGATATATCCCAGAAATGCAAGTTTGGTTTAACATAAGAAAAGCAATTAACATAATTCACTGGATTAATAGAATAAAAGTAAAAACAACATGATGATTTTAATAAACACAGGGGAAAATTTTTGACAAAATTGTGTCCCAGGGATAAATCCTACTTGGTCATGGTGAATAATTTTCTTAATGTACTGTTGGATCCTATTGGCTAGTATCTTGTTGAGAATTTTTGCATCCATGTTCATCAGGGATATTGGTCTGTAATTCTCCTTTTTGGTGGGGTCTTTGTCTGGTTTTGGAATTAAGGAGATGCTGGCCTCATAGAACGAATTTGGAAGTACTCCATCTCTTTCTATCTTTCCAAACAGCTTTAGTAGAATAGGTATGGTTTCTTCTTTAAACGTTTGATAGAATTCCCCTGGGAAGCCATCTGGCCCTGGACTTTTGTGTCTTGGGAGGTTTTTGATGACTGCTGCAATTTCCTCCCTGGTTATTGGCCTGTTCAGGTTTTCTATTTCTTCCTGTTCCAGTTTTGGTAAAAATGGCCCAATGTAAAAATACTATTATAAGAACATTAAGAACAAAAGTACCTCTTATTCCCAAGGTAAATAACCTAAAATCTCATCTAATTTTTCATCCATTTTTAAGTATGGAATTTCTTTGTTAGCTCAGACTTCTGAGTCAGTGTTGAAGGTAACAACAGCATGCAAACAACAATACCTCTAGCAAACAATAGGCATATGATAAAATGATCCATCCCTATCACTACAGTGAAGATCCAGATAATAGGAAAGTTGTTATAAGAACTTTCAAGGGACAAGGTTATGAAGGGACAGCAACACAATCAATAGTATATATCTTAACATGTTGGAAAGGAACACTCAAACTCCCTAATCTAGTATAAAAGTAAGTTCCTTGGTTGGCCCGTTTGTCATTCTTTGAAGCTGTTATCTAAATGTAGGAAGTTAACCCCCCAAATTTATAATATTTATCTACTGAGCACTGTTTTTATTACAAGTAACCAGATACCAACTGAAGCTGGTATAAGTGGAACAGATGCCTGGAAAAGTGACATAAACACGAGTCTTCATGAAGGCAGTTGAAAGAGCTGTGAAGAGCTTGTGAATGAACTATAAACAAGAGAAAAGGAATAAATCTGCAAGATTTTTGTTTTTACTCATATATAATTAAAATGCCAAAAAATTCACCTTCTATAGTTCGCAATTTAGTAGGTTTTAGTTTATTTATGGGACGCCTGGGTGGCTCAGTGGTTAAGCGTCTGCCTTCGGCTCAGGGGGTGATCCTGGGATCCGGGATCAAGTCCTACATCGGGCTCCTTGCACAGTGCCTGCTTCTCCCTCTGCTGTGTTTCTGCCTCTGTGTGTGTGTTTGTGTGTGTGTGTGTCTCATGAATAAATAAATAAATAAATAAATAAAATCTTTAAATATATATATATATATTTATCATCACCACTATTTAATTCCAGAATATTTTCATTATTGCAAAAAGAAACCTTACTGTTAATAGCAATCATTTCCTATTGCCTCCTCTCCAGAGACTCTGGAAACTACTAATCTAATCTGTGTTTATGGATTTATCAATTACAACCTTCATATAAGTGGAATCATACAATAAGGGCCTTTTGTGTCTGCCTTCTTTCACTTATGTTTTCAAGGTTCATTCATGTTATAGCACCTATTAGCGTTAATTTCTTTTTTAAAGCCAAACACTATTACATTGTTTGGGTATAACACATTTTATCTATTCATTCTTCAGTTAATTTTTCCACTTTTGAGTTCTTATGAACAATGCTACCATGAACTTCTGTATACAAGCTTAGGTGTGGACCTATTTTAATTCCCAGGAATGGAACTGCTGAGCCATATGGTAACTTTAACTTTTGGAGGAACTGCCAAGCAGTTTTCCAAAATAGCTTCAACACTTTACAACTTCACTAGGAGTATATGAAAGTTCCAACTTCTACACCTCTTTGTCAGCTCTTCGTATTGTCCATTTTTTGGTGGAATTATCATTGTGGTTTTTTTTTAATTTTTATTTATTTATGATAGTCACACAGAGAGAGAGAGAGAGAAAGAGGCAGAGACACAGGCAGAGGGAGAAGCAGGCTCCATGCACCAGGAGCCCGACGTGGGATTCGATCCCGGGTCTCCAGGATCATGCCCTGGGCCAAAAGCAGGCGCCAAACCGCTGCACCACCCAGGGATCCCATCATTGTGGTTTTGATTTTACATTTCCCTGATGGCTAATAATATCAATCATGTTTTCATGAACTTATTGGCTATTTATATATCTTCTCTGGAGCAATATCTCTTCAAGTACTCTTTTTCTAAAAAAAAGATTTATTTATTTAAGACAGAGAGAGCAAGTGAGTGGGGGGGTTGGGGCAGAGGCAGAGAATCCCAAGAAGACTCCACACTGAGCATGGAGCCTGATGCAAGGTTCCATATTACGACCCATGAGATCATGAACTGAGCTGAAATCATGAGTGGGTGCTTAACCAACTGAGCCCCTAAGTCCTTTATCCATTTTTTAAACTGGGTTTTCTCTTTTTTGCTTTTTTTTTTTTAAGATTTGATTATTTGAGAGAGAGAGAGAGAGAGAGAGAGAGAGAGAGAGAGAGAGACAGAGCACAAGCTAGGAGTGAGGGAGGGGAGCAAAGGGAGAGGCCAACCCTGTGCTGAGTGCAGAGCAAGATGAGGCACTGGGTCCCAGGACCCTGAGATCATGACTTGAAGTGAAATTCAAGAGTCAGTTCATGTCTTTTGCCCATTTCAGGATTGGATTGTTTGTTTCTTTGGTGTTGAGTTTAATAAGTTCTTTATAGATCTTGGAAACCAGCCCTTTATCTGATACGTCATTTGGAAATATCTTCTTCCATTCTGTAGGTTGTTTTTTAGTTTTGTTGACTGCATCCTTTGCTGTGCAGAAGCTTTTTATCTTGATTAAGTCCCAATTATTCATTTTTGTTTTTGCTTCCCTTGCCTTCATAGATGTATCTTGCAAGACGTTGCTGTGGCCAAGTTTAAAAAGGGTGTTGCCTGTGTTCTCCTCTAGGGTTTTGATGGAATCTTGTCTCACATTTAGCTCTTTCATCCATTTTGAGTTTATCTTTGTGTATGGTGTAAGAGAGTGGTCTAGTTTCATTCTTCTGCACAGAGGAAGACATAGACATGGCCAATATGCACATGAGAAAATGCTCCGCATCATTTGCCATCAGGGAAATACAAATCCAAACTACAATGAGATACCACCTCACACCAGTGAGAATGGCGAAAATTAACAAAACAGGAAACAATAAATGTTGGAGAGGATATGGAGAAAGGGGAAGCCTCTTGCACTGTTGGTGGGAATGTGAACTGGTGCAGCCACTCTGGAAAACTGTGTGGAGGTTCCTCAAAGAGTTAAAAATAGATCTGCCCTATGACCCCGCAATTGCACTGCTGGGGATTTACCCCAAAGATGCAGTGAAACGCCGGGATACCTGCACCCCAATGTTCATAGCAGCAATGTTGACAGTAGCCAAACTGCAGAAGGAGCCTCGGTGTCCATCGAAAGATGAATGGATAAAGAAGCTGTGGTCTATGTATACAATGGAATATTACTCAGCCATTAGAAACGACAAATACCCACCATTTGCTTCAACGTGGATGTAACTGGAGGGTGTTATGCTGAGTGGAGTAAGTCAATCACAGAAGGACAAACATTATATGGTCTCATTCATTTGGGTAATATAAAAAAATAGTGAAAGGCAGCCTCGGTAGCCCAGCGGTTTAGCGCCGCCTTCAGCCCAGGGTGTGATCCTGGGTACCCGTGATCGAGTCCCACAGCGGGCTCCCTGCATGGAGCCTGCTTCTCTCTCTGCCTCTGCCTCTGTGTGTGTGTGTTTCTCATGAATAAATAAATAAAATATTTTTAAAAAATAAAAATAAAAAATAAAAAAATAGTGAAAGGGAATAAAGGGGAAAGGACAGAAAATGAGTGGAGATATCTAGTGAAGGAGATAGAACATGAGAGACTCTTAACGCTGGGAAAAGAACAAGGGGTGGTGGAAAGGGAGGGGGGAAGGAGGTTGGGGTGACTGAGTGACGGGCACTGAGGGGGGTACTTGACAGGATGAGCACTGGGCGATATGCTACATGTTGAAAATTGAACTCCAATGAAAAAATAATTTAAAGAAAAATAATAAAAATTTTAAAAAAGATAAATTCGAAAGTCAGATGCTTAACTGACTGAGCCACCCAGGCACCCTAGGTTGTCTTTTTTATTGTTGAGTTGTAAGAGGTTTTCTATATATCATGAATATTAAACCTTATCAAATGTATGATTTGAAAATATTTTCTCCCATTCTGTGAGATGTTGTTTTCACTTTCTACATGGTGTCCTTTGAAGCACAATCTTTAATTTTGATGAGCTCCAATTTACCTTATTCTTGGTTGCTAGTGTTCTTAAGTACCATATCTGTGAAGCTATTGCCTAATTCCAAGTCACAAAGATTTATACCTATGTTTTCTTCTAAGAGTCTTATAATTTTTGCACTTTCCTTACTTTTAGATTTTTTTTATCTACTTTGAGTTAATTTTTGTATATGATGTGAAGCAGGGGTCTACCTTTATATTTTGGCTTGTGGATATTGTTTTCCCAGCCCAATTTGTTGAAAACATCTATTGTAAGTTTATTAAAGTTTGTCTGGTGATATAATCAATTACAGATCCTGGTAAAAAATGCAAAGGCTGGGTGGGACACCTGGGTGGCTCAGCAGTTGAGCATCTGCCTTCAGCTCAGGGTATGATCTCGGGTCTGGGGATGGAGTCCTGCATAGGGCTCCCTTCCGGGAGCCTACTTCTCCCTCCATATCTCTGCCTCTCTCTCTCTCTATGTCTCTCACGAGTAAATAAATAAAATCTTTTAAAAAATGCAAAAGCTATTTTACTACAATGGATCTGAGAACCTAATGTTAAAATAGCACTCCAGGTGATTCTGATAGAAGAAAAAAAAAGAAGAGTTATTAACCTCTATCCCAAATTAATCTGAAAGCAAAAAAAGAAAAAGGGAACTAAAAAAAGAATAAAGAAAAAAGAAAGGACTAAAATGCAAGTATCAGAGAGAAAGGAAACAAGCCAATATGTGAAAATCAATTATCCTTCTGCTTGATAACAAGAATTTTAAAAAGTATTTTGGAAATACAGCAAAGAAAGGGAAGAAATAGACAGAAAATCAAGCAAAAAACATGAAAATTCTGGAATTCCCTTAATGACCATCATACATTATGACTCAGGATCATAGTCAAATTGTTCTCTCAAGTCTCTATAGGTTTGCACCAACATAATTTCCTGACACCAGCAACCTTTCTGACATACACATACACTCATATACACACTTGCACACAGAATCTTACCACTCAAGTATGACACTTCCTATCCATATATTTCCCATTCTCCTAAGAAAAGGCTCAATGTTCTTTCACTTTATACTTAAAAAAAATCGAAGAGGAGAAATTTATAATAATAAATACAGATTTTTTAATTAAAAAAGGATTCATTTCTTAAACCTGAAAATGCATGTATTTTCCTGTGGCTAAAATAAATGAAAAAAGTTTGACAAATGTCCAACACTGGATCACAGATAATAGGGGTATAGAGAATATCTCTGGATACCATGGATCTTCAAGTGTATTTCCTTACTTCATAAAATAATAAAGTAGGACACTCCCCTGCAATGCTTATATTAAACGGTCCATGATATTTTGAATGGATGGCAAAGAGGGGCTTCACAAAGCCAAAGGAACCTTTTAGTGTCAACACTGAGATCAGAGCCCAAAGACACAGAAATGAAAGTAAAATAAATTGTGTTTCAAGAATTCCAAATTGGGGGATTCTTCTTACCTGCAACATGTCCACTGTTGACCATTTACTGCGATGCTCCAGATCTGAAATGAGCTCTTCCACCAACTGGTTCTGCTGAGCCAGCTCAGCCTCACCCTCAGCCAAGTTATCCAGTATCCTCTTTTCCTCTTCTTCTAATTTTTGCAGAACTCTCTGCTCTTCACTGTCCAAAATGCTTCTAAGTTGATTGAATTCTGTTCTAATTCTTTGTCTCTCAGTCTGTATCTGGTACTGCAAGATTAGATAAACAAAGAGGTAAAGAATCTATCTGCCTGAAAGCCTACTGTGTAAGGGATTACGAGCCAGGAAAAGAAATATTTTTTCACTGAGTTCTAATCAAGAGGGAAATGGAGGCATGGGGTCAATTTTTGGGAAAGCTGGGTATTTTTCCTACTGTTTTCCCTTTAGTACATACCAAAAAGCAAGCCTCAGACTGTCTTTTTTTATTATTTTTTTATTGGAGTTCAATTTGCCAACATATAGCATATCACCCAGTGCTCATCCCGTCAAGTGCCCCCCTCAGTGCCAGTCACCCAGTCACCATACCAAAGCAAGCCTCAGACTGTCTTATCCAGGCCAACCCTGGGATGAAATGTAATACCTAAATGAGGTTTTAAGTTGTATGTGGCTGTACTGGACATTCACATCTCCCTGCATTACCACATTTCAAGTTTAAACCTTAGGGAAAATCTTGGTCCTTTGTCCAGAGTCCTTCACCAAAGGTATCAGAGCTTCATTGGAAAAGAGGAATGGAAGACAGAATTCTCTATCCTTCCTCACCAAAGAATCTGTCTTTATGCTCAATTCCAAATCCCTGTGTGTACTTGTAACATGTCCACTCTCCAACCCTCAATTGTAACTGAGACAGGACAAAGAATCAAATAGCTTCTGGATGCATTCGGTGTCAGGGAACAAAGAAGGGGCTTCCTTGTGATTTGGACTGAAGGTCCTGCCAAGATTCCTGTGTCAAAAACCCATCAGAAAGCATCTCTTCCTACCTTCCAGGAAGTCCTCTCTCCTTTGATATCAGTTTCCAACTTCTCAGCTTTCTGCTGCTCTTTCCTCAGCCTCGCCACAGCTGCCTGGAGATTCTCCTGTGAGAGAAAAGTCACATCAGATGACTCACATTAGGAGACATCATCAAACTATGAGGTTTTTCAGCAAAGAATGAATGGAGAAGAAATCATGCTGATCTCAGAAGAGACCAGTTAACAGAAACAGTGATTAGAATCTATGATATGAGAGAAAAGCTAAGAAGAATACATCATTTGTACCTGGGTGGTGGAAGTCACCATCCCTCACCAAGAGTAGCCTAATTCTCTCTTTTCATAGAAGATTGATCCTGCTGTAGCAAGAAAAATCCCATACTCTTACTGACACTCTTTCCACATCCAATTCACAAGGTTGGAACAGCAATCATCCTGCTGAGGGGAACTATGAGAGCCAAGTTTGTGAAAGGAATCCCTGACCCATATAACAAAAGAGAAAAAAAGGAAAACTTCTCACTCTTGGCCAAGAGTCTAGGCTCTAGATTCTATGCTCATTCTTTATTTTTTTAAGATTTATTGATTTATGTTAGAGACAGAATATGTGTGTGTTTGTTAAGTGGGGGTGGGGAAGGGGCAGAGGGAGAGAGAAAGGGGAAGAGACTCCTTGCTGAGAGCAGAGCCCCATGTGGGGCTAAATCTCATGACTCTGAGATCACAAATGAGCTGAAACCAAGAATCGGAGACTTAACTAATTGAGCCATCCAAGCCCCCCAAGGCTCACCATTTATGTAAGTGTAAGGAATACGCAGAATTGTCCTTCAGGCATTGGAAGCTTAGCATAGTATAAGAGACATACATGGAATATTAGAGGGCTCAGTATCATAGTGCCAAGGTGAGTAAAGAAGGATGGAAAGGTGAGATTTCCCACCAAGTACCATCTTCCCTCCTGTCTCCCTCCATCCTGGGCCTTACCTGATACTCCTTGACTACTTCCTCCACGAGGAATGTTTGGTGTCCCCGGTGCTCCTGAGACCGCTCACAAAGCCAACAAATGACCTTTCTATCCTCCTTACAGAAGAGCAGGAGCTTCTTTTCATGGCGCACACAGAGGTCTCTCTTCAGCAACTTTTCTGAGTTCAACTTAAACATTCTGATTCTCTCCACTATGTTGACCAGATGCTGATTATGCCATAGGTTACCGAGTGAGTATCTGACACCACACACAGGAGAGCTGCTTTCCCCTCTGGGGCTGATCTCTGCCTCCTTATTATTCACAGCGATGCAGCCTTGACCGAAGCTGTGACCACAGTCTAGACTCTGGGATTCTGTCAAAAGCTCCAGGCAGATGGGACAGGATACCTCATCCTGTATGTTCAAGATTTTTAAAGCCATAGTACGTCTTCCTTGGCTCTTCCTCTATTTGCTCCTGAGGCTCTTCTTGCTTAAAAGTTCCTAGATGGCTGGGCAGATTGAAAAGGGATAAGGTAAGATTGGCAGAAATGTAAAAGAATCATAATTGTGCAGATATTAAGGATTGGCCAAGACTGAAATGTTGAAGGACAAAAAGAAAGAGGGAAAAAAAAGAAGAAACGGCAATGAAATTCAGTGGCCTGGTAAAGCTGCTCATGCCTAAGGCTTCTTCTGCAATTGTTCTTCTTTCAGCCTGGAATGATCCTCCCCTTGATATTTGCATGACTTCCTCTTACACTTCACTCAACCCTTTCCTTAAATATTTTTTTCATCAGAAGGACCTAATATGATTACTTTATCTATAGCACAATTACTAATATACCATTTGTTGTACATTTGCCATTTTTTCTTATTATATTATACGACATATGACTTCTTTTCCTTAAATATCCTCCCCCTAAAATATAATCCCTACATAGATCAGGCACTTTGTTTTTATTCACTGCTGTATCTCTAGTACCTAGAATGCACAGGAACACAACCTTTGATTAATTTATAAAGAACCTCCTCATTTCTCCTTAGGTAATGAAATTCTTTCTTTTAATCATCCTTTCATCTTTTTGTTCCATTAATTACCTGTTTTCTAATAGATAAACGTTGGGACCACAGATATAATTTCAACATAAGAAATGCTTACCTCTAAATATGCCTGTCCCATATAGAACCCTTCCATTCTTTCATATTCACTCCCAGAGACACTCACAGAAATAGCAAAGGCCACAATAGGGAAGGAATTTTATCACTAAGAATTATAGAACCTATTTATTCTTTATATGAAAGTCCTTGAGAAATGAATACTTTATTGAACTGTTTAAATTGAATGAAGTAGCTTATAAAATTATTTCATTCACTAAGTTGAATTAGGGTGAATACAATGTCTTCAGGATCCTCATTCAGACGTCTGGTAGGTGTGATAAACACTACCACTCAGAGGTCCATGTTTTGGAAGAACTAATAATTTGCCAAATAGGAGAATGTCAAAGATAACCCCCTTGCATAAGTAAGGGTTTAACTAAAAGGTGTGAGAAGGGATATGGAATGAGAAAGAGGAAAAACACATTCTAGAGAAAAGAATTCACATGTATGAATGCCCTGCTGATGGAAAATACAACACGTACAGGTTTTAAAATGCCCATATGCCTGGTGTGCCGAGATTTGCTAAGCTTTTGGCATTGATGTGCCTGTAGAGACCAAAAGAGTGACACTTCCTAAATGATGTAAAAGAGACAGTCTCTCTCCAAAAAGCAGGGATCAGTGATAGGAATTGTAGGACAGGCTGCTGGAGGGAATACAGAGAAGCAGATGAAGCTGAGAGAGAAGGTAAGAGAAAAGAGACAAGATTGGGAGTTGGGTTGGATATATAACAAAAAAAAAAAGTCATCATCAAGCTTACATCCTTTCTCCCATAAAAAGGGATACTGGCATTACCTTCTTCTAGTACTTTGATTTATTTTTATTATTTTTCATAAGTACAGACCTCTGCTTCCACAAGTGGGTTGTTACTCTTATAATGAAATATTTGCTGGTAGGGTCTTGGAAGCTCCTCTCATGGCTCTTACAAGGTAATCAATCTATTGCCCCAAGACTTACCTAAGCCATGTTAGTTTCATACATACCACCTGGTCTTGTTCTCTAACAAGTAACCTCTTGAAGGGGATAAAGTACCTTCCATATCACTGTGTGGACCCTCATGACTGACATGAGACAGTCATGATGCTATGCTGTATCTCCTGTCCTGTATGCCCCAGATAAGCTACCTGAACCTGACTGGTTTACGACCTGCTAAATCACATGAATGGGAATAGTAACCCAAACCTAAAACTATTGGTGGTAGTCAGTCAGAAGGCATATCACAGAGTGGTAATGTGGTGACACTGCTGATTCTCAGAACCTGGGTTCCTTATGGACAAGAAACTGTGAGGCAAAAAAAAGGGAAGATCTCAGTAGATATTAATGTTATGATACCTGTTTTAAATAATTGAATTCTATCCCCCATATCGATATCACTTGTGTGAATGTGATATTTTTTGGAAATAAAGTCTTTGCCAATGTAATCAAGTTAAGATGAGGTAATACTGGAATAGGGTGGGCTCTAAATCCAGTGACAAGTGTCCTTTAAGAAGAAGAAAGGGAACATTGCATACAGGGAAGAAAGGCCATGTGACAATGGTGGCCGACCCTGGAGCAATGCAACAGCAAGGCAAGGGACACCAAGGATTTCATGAAACCACTAACCAGAAGCTAGGAGAGAAACATGAAACAAGATTCTCCCTTATTACCTAGAGAAGAAACCGACTCTGCCAACATCTTGACTTTGGACTTGTTTCCTGAACTGTGGAAGAATAAATTCCTGTTTTAACCCATAATTTATTATAAAACCTTAGGAAGCTAACACAGTTGAAATAAAAGAAAGAACTCAGCTGTGTAACAAACTATAATCTTCCCTTTCCCCTAAAAAGAGAAAAATAGGGGCATGATGGAAGCTGTATTAAGATAAAGTTAGGTCTAGAAATATGTCACTTCTCCAATCACCCATGAAGTGAACCTGGTGAAAAATAAAGCTGAATGTGGGCTGGCCAATGTTATCTAGCCAATGGTACAGATACTGAAAATTGTCCAAAGGCCATATGTTATTAGCTCCTAGTTACAATGACTTTGGTCAGATCAGGCTTTAATGACTAGCAAGACCAGGGGTTTACACAACATGATAATATCCACTTCTGCTTACAACTGAAGCTATAAGCCAACCATAGGGATGGGGTTCTCTGTTATCTATTCAGTGTCCAACCAATGCTGAGAAACAACTAAAGTCTATAGGGGAGTGGACCATGAACTCTACCACGGGGTTATAAACCTCAGGTTCACAGTGGGGCTACAAGAAATTGATGTCAAATTAGCTGCCACCACACTGGCCACAGAAGGAAGATGGTATAAAGGAGTCAGTCCCCCACACATAGGTATTGACCCCACCAAAGTCCAAGAGTGACCTGAGAGTCCAGCAGTGGTCAGGAAGATAGGAAGGGAATACAAGTAATATCTGCCTGATGGAAGTCCCAGGTCAGCTGGCTGTCACAAGTGTCAGATGATTATATCCTATACTTGAGTCTTCTCCTAACACCTGGACTCATGATAATGCAACTCTATGCCTCTCTGAAGGTCACATAGTAAAATAAGCATCTCCAGGAAGTGGTGTGCAGGAAAGGATGTTCTGTGAATTTTCAAACAGCATCCTAGCCACTTTTCTTGGTTTCATGGGCCAGAAACTTCCAGTGGGGGAAGTAGGACCTATTTTTGACATGAAGAGACCTGGGGAACTCAGAAATGTTGTGGTTTCCCTCCCCATAACTCTATATTGGGAGTTCCTGCTTCAGAAACTCCTTAGAATTCAGGACTAAATTTGCATTCCCCCTCTTAACCCCCCATACATGACGCTTTCTCAAAGAGCTCAAGCTGTCTGGCAAATATATTTTTAAAAAGTAATATTTTTAACAAGTCAATTAAAAAAAGTCATTCTGTAACAGGACCACTTTTATTAAATTGTTCCTAGTCTCATTAGTTCATCAGAGGATGCTAAGAATGTTTTCTTCAAACTAGTTCCAATCATTTCCACTACCATCATCCTGTCAGGAGCCATATGTCTTCCTGCATGGATTCTGGGAAACTATTCTCCCTGAAACTATCACTGCCCTTCCTCAGTTTGCTACCATCTCTGTTCTTACATCATTGAGTAGAGTGTTCCTCAAAGCAAGTACCAGTCCTGTCACCCTTACTTGGCTCAAATACATGTCATCCAGCATGAGGCAGTCATCATCCCCACCCTCTAGTCAGGGCCACATTATATACTTCCTCCTCGGAGAACACAGGCAACACCCTTTTTGAACTCGGCCACAGTAACTTCTTGCAAGGTACATCCACGAAGGCAAAAGAAACAAAAGCAAAAATGAACTATTGGGACTTCATCAAGATAAGAAGCTTTTGCACAGCAAAGGATACAGTCAACACAACTAAAAGACAATCTACAGAATGGGAGAAGATATTTGCAAATGACGTATCAGATAAAGGGCTAGTTTCCAAGATCTATAAAGAACCTATTAAACTCAACACCATAGAAACAAACAATCCAATCATGAAATGGGCAAAACACATGAAGAGAAATGTCACAGAGGAAGACATAGACATGGCCAACACGCACATGAGAAAATGCTCTGCATCACTTGCCATCAGGGAAATACAAATCAAAACCACAATGAGATACCACCTCACACCAGTGAGAATGGGGAAAATTAACAAGGCAGGAAACCACAAATGTTGGAGAGGATGCGGAGAAAAGGGAACCCTCTTACACTGTTGGTGGGAATGTGAACTGGTGCAGCCACTCTGGAAAACTGGAGGTTCCTCAAAGAGTTAAAAATAGACCTGACCTATGACCCAGCAATTGCACTGTTGGGGATTTACCCCCAAAGATTCAGATGCAATGAAACGCCGGGACACCTGCACCCCGATGTTTCTAGCAGCAATGTCCACAATAGCCAAACTGTGGAAGGAGCCTCGGTGTCCATCGAAAGATGAATGGATAAAGAAGATGTGGTTTATGTATACGACGGAATATTCCTCAGCCATTAGAAACGACAAATACCCACCATTTGCTTCAACGTGGATGGAACTGGAGGGTATTATGCTGAGTGAAGTAAGTCAATCAGAGAAGGACAAACAGTATTTGTTCTCATTCATTTGGGGAATATGAATAATAGTGAAAGGGAATATAAGGGAAGGGAGAAGAAATGTGTGGGAAATATCAGAAAGGGAGACAGAACATGAAGACTCCTAACTCTGGGAAATGAACTAGGGGTGGTGGAAGGGGAGGAGGGCGGAGGGTGGGGGTGAATGGGTGACAGGCACTGAAGGGGACACTTGACGGGATGAGCACTGGGTTTTATTCTGTATGTTGGTAAATTGAACACCAATAAAAAATTAATTTATTAAAATAATAATAATAAATATATATATACCTCCTCCTCCTGCCTCTAACACCTGAGGCCACCCCCTTCTCTTCTCCCTGCTTATTCTGCCCCAGCCCACACTGACCTCCTTTCAATCTTGGTAGAAAACCCATACTAAAGCCTTTAAATCCCTTACATTCTTAAGATTCTACTCAAATATTTCCTCATAATGAGGCCTTTATGAAAACTACTTACAGTTACGAGGCCTTTATCAGGTCACTGTATTTGACACTTACAAACTGTTACCCCATAATATTAGTCACCTTCTTGTATACATATCCATTATTTGTTTGTGTACAATCTCTCCCCAACTAGACCATAAGGTCTTATTATGTATTTAACATTTAGTGCATGTTGAATGCCTATTCATTGCACTTTTTTTAAATCAGCAGCTTTAGTTCCTATGAATAAATTGTTTAAATAAAGAAAGAAATAATAAATCTGTTTTTTTCCTATGTGCTGGGCTTTGTTTTGGACCGTGTAGCACAATTAGTATCTGAGCAGAAAGGCACCCTATCCAGGAGTAAACCATAGACTCCGGGGAGACCGGAGAACAGGATGGAATGGGCATGTGTCAGAAGGTATATAATAAATCCATCACTGTGTATGACCCCTTTTGAGCAATAATCAACCCGTGTTAATTAGTTCTGAATGAAGAAAAATAGTAAAGAATTGAGGTAACCATGCAAAGGTGTGTGTACAGAGGAAGAATGATGAAGAAAAAGCCCTAAGGCAGGTAAGGATGGGTCAGTGGGCTACTGGAAGCAAGAGTACTTGGGCCTATTCTGGAAAGTTGCAAGGATACTCCTGAGATTGGCACTCCCAAGAACTCAGGGTGACAGGGGGCCACAGAGACAGGTGGCAGGCACATCACTCCACAGACCAGCAGCTAAGGAGATGTCAGCAAGGCCATAGACAGCCTCTTGGCTGGTTTGCCAGAGAGGAATGAGAGAATCAGCTTCAATATTACCCCGGTCATGCCCCCCAAACTCCATTCTGTCTCATGCTCCACTCTAGGAGCTTGGGCTTTCAAACATTTGGAACACAAGGACCTCTTTTGCCAGCTTTTTGTCAAGCAGGTAGATGTGGGCAGAAGAGAAAATACTTTCTGTTCATCTTTGAGAAAGAGAGACCGAGAGCAAGAGAGGAAAAGGACCCAAATCTCTTCAGCCAGTTAGATAATTCAAACTAGAGAATAGAAAGGGGATGAGGATGGACACCGGCTGGAGAAAGAAGGGCCCCTCCAGGAAAGAAACAATGCCCTCCACCTCTTGGGCGTTCCTTTCTCTCTAGGCCATCTTCTCCAGAGTCAAGGCCACCATCTGTCTGCATTCAGACCAGGAAGTTGGCAAGCTGACTTTGATTCCCCTCAGAGCAAGTCTGGGCCACACAATAAACTCACATAACTTGGTATAGTACCTTCTTTCTAGCTTCTCCTACCCTCTCCGTCTCCACACACAGACCCTCGTTAACTTCCCCAACGCACCTGTAGGCCCCAGCAGAGAAGTCTTGACTCCCGATTTAAGTGGTGAAGAACAGCCAGGGCAGGCGTCGGCAGCATTTCCTCACCAAACAAGTGCTGGGTCTGCGTAGTTCCTCCTGAGCTGCTGGCTTGGAAATGAAAGTGAAATCCTTAGAGCCCAAAGGAAGATGACAGGGGAAGGAACTTCTAGGCCCAACAGGCAGCAGTCCTGTAGAGCCACTGGAAGAAAAATGCTTTAACTCAGTGGTTCTGAAGTGGGGGAGGCCAGGGCTTGTCCCAAGGGATGTTTGGCAAAATCTGAGGACAAATTTGGTGGTCATACCTGGGGGGTGCTACTGCCATCTAGTGGGTAGAAGCTAGGAGTACGGCTAACTGTTCTACAGTGCACAGGACGGCTCCCACAGCAAGGAATTATCCAGTCCAAAATGTAAATGGTTCTGGGAAAATTGGACATCCACATGCAGAAGAATGAAACTAGACCACTCTCTTTCACCATACACAAAGAAAAACTCAAAATGGATGAAAGATCTAAATGTGAGACAAGATTCCATCAAAATCCTAGAGGAGAACACAGGCAACACCCTTTTTGAACTTGGCCACAGTAACTTCTTGCAAGATACATCCACGAAGGCAAAAGAAACAAAAGCAAAAATGAACTATTGGGACTTCATCAAGATAAGAAGCTTTTGCACAGCAAAGGATACAGTCAACAAAACTAAAAGACAACCTACAGAATGGGAGAATATATTTGCCAATGACCTATCAGATAAAGGGCTAGTTTCCAAGAACTATAAAGAACTTATTAAACTCCACACGAAAGAAACAAATAATCCAATCATGAAACGGGCAAAAGACATGAACAGAAATCTCACAGAGGAAGACATAGACATGGCCAACAGGCACATGAGAAAATGCTCCGCATCACTGGCCATCAGGGAAATACAAATCAAAACCACAATGAGATACCACCTCACACCAGTGAGAATGGGGAAAATTAACAAGGCAGGAAACAACAAATGTTGGAGAGGATGCGGAGAAAAGGGAACCCTCTTACACTGTTGGTGGGAATGTGAACTGGTGCAGCCACTCTGGAAAACTGTGTGGAGGTTCCTCAAAGGGTTAAAAATAGACCTGCCCTACGACCCAGCAATTGCACTGCTGGGGATTCACCCCAAACATACAGATGCAATGAAACGCCAGGACACCTGCACCCCGATGTTTCTAGCAGCAATGTCCACAATAGCCAAACTGTGGAAGGAGCCTCGGTGTCCATCGAAAGATGAATGGACTGGGTGTTATTCTGTATGTTGGTAAATTGAACACCAATAAAAATTAAGTTATAAAAAAAAAAGAGAAAGACAAAAAAAAAAAGAAAGATGAATGGATAAAGAAGATGTGGTTTATGTATACAATGGAATATTCCTCAGCCATTAGAAATGACAAATATCCACCATTTGCTTCGACGTGGATGGAACTGGAAGGTATTATGCTGAGTGAAATAAGTCAATCAGAGGACAAACATATGGTCTCGTTCATTTGGGGACTATAAATAATAGTGAAAGGGAATAGAGGGGAAGGGAGAAATGGGTAGGAAATATCAGAAAGGGAGACAGAACATGAGAGACTCCCAACTCTGGGAAATGAACTAGGGGTGGTGGAAGGGGAAGAGGGCGGGGGATGGGGTGACTGGGTGGCGGGCACTGAGGGGGGCACCTGACTGGATGAGCACTGGGTGTTATTCTGTATGTTGGCAAATTGAACACCAATAAAAAAATAAATTTATTATTTAGAAATTTTAAAAAATAATAACATAAATAAAATAAAAACAAAAACAAAACAACAACAAAAAAATGTCCCGAGTGCTGAGGTTGAGAGACTGTTCTTCTTTGGGGAAACGTCCACTGATGTCTTCAGCCCAATGTTTAGTTGGATTATTTGTTTTGAGGGGGTATTGGGTTTTGTAAGTTCTTTATATATTCTGGATACCAGCTTTTTATTATCAAATATGGCATTTGCAAATATCCCTCCCTAAGTTGCCTTTTAGTTTTGTAAATTGTTTCCTTCACTGTGCAAAAGCTTTGTATGTGTGTGTGTACAAAAGCGTTTTATTTTGATGTAGTCTCTCCAGGTGATTCTTATGTGAGTCTCAGGTTGAGAACCACCACCTTCAGTGGTGAATTGGGCCTTTGGGGGCCTTGGTCAGAAAGGACTGATTTGAAAATGAGACAACCTTGACAAGGAAGTCATCTTGAACAAGGGTGTTCCTGTCAGGAGTTACCACCTTTTCTGGGCTCAGGATGATCTCTTGCATAAATTGTGCCTCCATGAAGATAACATGAGAAGAATAAATTGATGGATTAATTTTCTGTATTGTATTCCTCAAGGAAATCCTGGAACTGCTTTCCAAGGTATAATTGTTCTTTCAGCCCTCTCTCGTCATCTGACTCACACCTGGTGCCGAAAGACCACCCCCAAGCAGAAAGACAAATAATTGTTTGAAATTTTAACAACTTTCCCATTAAAATAGCTGTATCTATTACACTTAGACATATGCTTTGACCACTTTTAAGGAGTCAATAAATTACCTATTTAGGCTTGCTTATCCTTAGTTCAATACTGATAATTAACATCATTCAGATAATTGGTCATTAGACAGATTTGTTATTTTAGGTGTCTGAATCATTAGTTTAGGTATGTAAATTACCTCAACACTATCAATTCTGTGTGGGAAACATCCAATTTTCATCAATAATTTTATTCACTTGGGTTTTTTTCCCTCTATTTTCCTTATACCTGACTTGTCTATGAGTTCAATGGGCTTGCAACCATGCTTTGACTTTGCTATTGTTTTATTATTTTCTTAACAACCATCTACAACTTATAATATATTAAAGGTAGAAAAATTTGACATTTTTTGGAAACTCATCTTAGGGCATCAAGAGTTTCTCTGGCATGTCACTGTCAGCTGAGCTGTTTTTCCAGTAGACATGAATGGCCTAGATGGAAGGATAAGCAAGTTTGGAATATTCAGGAACCTGCAAAGAGCTCCATGGCACTGTACTTGGGGCTCTAGGTAAAGAGAGACCACAAAAGGTGAACAAGCATTGATCATTAAGACTCATTTACACAGGCAGGGAGGGAGCTGGGAGTTATTTGGAAAAGAATGACAACTACTACACAGATACCAGTGCAGAAGTAAAGTGTTAACTTTCCCAGATATTGTCTTCAAGTTATTTGGTTGGGGAAGGGGGACACCTCATAATCCCATCACCAACGTGTCCACACTGTCCCATGGCAGGGCCCAGCAGGACTCTCTGCTTTGCAAGTTTTCACTTGCAGAAGTAACTTGGAAGCCTGGGTCTCTGCAAATACCAGTATGCATAAGGCCCTCTGCACATGGAGATAATTGTGTACATCTTTTAATTTTTATTTCATTATGGAGCTTTTCTGATTGTTTTTTGAATATTGGGCATTTTTAATTTTTTTGCAGAATTCTAAAGCTTACTAGCATAGAATTGTGTAATTCTTTTTACCATTTTTAATTATCTGTAATGAACTTTCATTCACAATTTCATTTGCCTTGTTCATTTGTGTAAAATGATCATCTAATTCTTCCTACTGAAATTTAGTGTATATATTTTATACACTAGTATATTCTTTCAACAAGCAAATTCCCTGTATGAGGGAATATGGCAGTTTGGGGACAGAAGGAGGCTGGGATAGCATTCCAAAACCGAAATCCTTGGCCCAGCTTTACAGAAGACCATGTGCTGCTGTAGCCTACCTCCACTTGTGATACCTGCCAGTGATCCTTTGAGTGTAAACGACTCAGAAGGAAAGGAGCAGGAGGAAGGACACTGCTGTAGGGTGGACTAACACAGCACAGTGCAGACTCACAGACTCTCAGATTCCACACTCCATGGATACAGCTCTGGCCCATCAGCCAGGGGAAGAGACAGTCCAAATCTTTTGTACTCATCAGTACTGAGTGACATGTTCCCTAAATGAAGAGGAAAATCTGAGGCCTCTGAAAACATGTAGGGCCACAGACACCACCTGCAAAGCACGATCTGTTTGCTTTAGCTCTCCTACGACACAATAAGAATATCCCACATTAAATATAAATATTCTAAAATTGTATGAGTGTGTTAAAGATGACTACTTGGCATAACAGCATGTCTGGAAGAAAGATAATTAACACTTACTTTTGGATTATGAGGTGTCCCCCCTCCCCCAACCAAATAACTTGAAGACAATAATGACCTTTGTTTTTAAGTCTCCAATATTCTCAAGAATAACTTAAAGCACTTAGGAGTTCTTTAGTACCTTCCCCATAGGGTCTCAGTGGCACAGGAACACTGAGCAAAAAAACAATTCCTCTCTTCCCACCCTAGGGAGACCAGATGAGACCTGCCCTGGGAAGGTGCACAGCCTGGGAGTGGCACTGCAGAAGGAAAAGGTTGAGGGTCCTGCGATCATCAAAACAAAACAGATCTAGGGTGAAGTCGGGATTGAGAGATTGCCCAGCATCATCCTCAGACAAAAGGGAAGATCATTAGAATCACACACAAATGAGTGCAGATCCTGTGTCTATTCCAGTGAGGATCTCAGGTTCCCAGGGTTGAGAAACTTCTGATTGCCATTTGGCGATGGCTGTAGTTACTGCTGCTCATTCATTGTCCATGCACAGTCCTGCAGACTGAAGGCTCCTTATGCTCCTGAACCACCCTCCCAACCCATCCCCAAACTTTCATGGTGGACTCTTTTTCTCTAATTATGACCCAGTGTAGTCCTAAGGCCCCAGAAATATAAGATGGCATTATGTCACATACACTTTTGGAGATGATGGGAAGGAGAAAGTCCTAGAACTGATTCCTGGGTGGTGAGAATCCACACTTTGTGCCCACTGGATTTTTTATTTTGAATTCAGATCCTTTCTCTGTTCTTTTCCTGAAAGTGGAAAAATTGGAAGCTGATTGCAGGCTTTATGGTCTTGTCAGCAGAGGGTGCCATTTTTTAGTGCCAGGGGCTCTGTTGAAAAGTGTCTTCCTTAGCTAGCAGATGGTTTTGTTTGGGTTGCTATTTCAAGTCTTTTTTTTTTTTTTTTCTATAACTGTCTCATCTTGAGCTGAGGAATTGGGAATTTCAGAGAATGAAAGATCTGAATATCCCAAGAGTTATCTCAGGGATACTCGATAATACTTGCTAACTGA